CTACATTGCTTTCAAGTAATGAAATAAACCTCCATCTTGCGTTGATGTAAAACTACGTTGAAGTACGTGCTACTAATCCAGTTCAGCATAAGTTTACAAGCCTAGGGAACCCGCACGCAGACCACACAAACAAAATTTTAAAAACTTTTGACATGGTACGCTTGTGTCTATTAGCCATACACGGATTTTCTTATATAAGAGCCTCTGGTATTTTTGTTTAAGAGCCAAGTTGAAGATAAGGAAAGGCCTGGGGTTTAAAGTATCGTCATTGAAATCTATGATTTGGCTTGTTGCTAATCCGCAAGCACGACACACTTCCGCCTTGATAAAAATAATGTTAAACCTTCTAGAATAGCGACAGCATAGAGACTAGTGCATAGGGAGGGGTGTAATTCCATGCCCTTAACAATACAATATGTTACTAACTGTATACCTAGCAGATCCCCTACACACCTCACACACCTCAACCACACACAGAGGCATTGTCACGCCAATGACCTACAGATAAAGCCCACTATGAAACAATGATATGACGTTTCCAATAGGGCTAGTATGTATGTCACCATCTTCTCGTGTTTGTACTTGCCAGCTAGTATTTTCCAAACCAAATGTGAATATTTTTATTAAACGGCAAAAAAAAAAAAAAAAAAAAAAAAAAAAAGATTACTTGGTAATGATAGACTTCATTTGATTATATTATTAGTAACATTTTTTTTATAATTTTGGGTATTCTTGTTTTTTTTTTTTATTTTCGAAGCGAGGCTTCGTTGTTTCTTATGAACTGAATACATATTTATTATTTTCTACAAATTCCTTTTATATTATAATCTTTGATATAAATATGCCAGTGCGATATACTACACCGTGTAACAAAAAGCATCCTTCCGCACCATAAAGGTGCTGTTTTTTTTTTAATTTACCTGAATAATGATGAGAATTCCTTTAGTTCTGGCAGATGGTGTCGCCTAACTCTCATATTTTGGAGGATAGTGTCTCCAGTTTAACAAATTCTCATATTCTGTACGATTTTGTCTTCAGATTTACATACTCACCGAAGTTAGTGTACACGTTCTTGACCTTCAGCTTTGTCGAAATTTGTCATTTCTTCAAAGACGGAGTTAGTTTGGAATTTAAGATTCAGATAAAGATCCGAAAAGAGCTATAGTTTACATATCTGCAGGTCATATTTCAAAGTAGAAGGGTCAAAATGTTATAAAAGAAAATTAGCAGATTATGCCCCGTTGCAGCTTTTCCTCAACGGGCGGAAACAACTAGTTATTAAGTAGTTTAAAAACCACTAAGGTTGATAAGTTAAACTATAATAGTGATGATGCGGTGAAATTATTTTTAATGTTGTATCTTACAATTCTAATATGTCTACTTCCTGTGGCCGATCTAAGTAGCATGGGTTAAATAACACAGGAAGCCATTTTGTGAATCATTTGTCAATCTCCTACCACAATACAAAAATAAAACATGTATCCAATAATATAACGAAAATTGATGTTGCAACAAATGGGATAGCTCCAGGAACAAGTTACGATTACCATTTTTTTCCGATATAACGTTTTTTTGTTTATGTTTATGAAAAAGATTTGTAGAAAGCATATCGCTTGACTCACACGGAAAAACTGCACTTTTATAGAAAAGCATCAAAGAGTAGATCTTATGAAGATTTGTACCGACTGATTCTAAATATATATTTTAAAAATCATATCTCTCATCGATGGAAGATATATAGAAATGTTTTTAAGAAGCAATAAAACTAATGGGCTCTCGTTCTTTTTTAAATTAAAAAATAAAATAATTTATAGCCAACAATAATAAAAATAATAATTTGCAACCAATTTGTAAGAAAAAAATACACCTTATACAGTTACAGCATTTATTACAATTTGTTTTCTTAAGGGGAAAAAGAATTTTCTATAGTGAAAAATTCTTTTCCTGATTAATACAAGACACCATGCCGTAATAAGAAATCACACAACGGTCAAGCGGCTGTCAAAAAGTTGTCAAAGCTTAAAAAAAACACTTTGTTTTCCTTTATAACATCGATTTTGATTTAAACTCCAAACAGTTTAATTGTTTTTGTTATCACTGGTTTAATGGGCATCGCATGTGGTAAAACGATACGCCTGATTAGTAATCCAATATTTTTCTTTGAAGGACCCGTTTATACGGTTGATGAAGCAATATGCCCAAGGCTATAAATGATATCCAGTTACATTGTTGTGTGAACCTTGCAAGGATGGCTGTCGGCACACGAAAATAATGACTGCTAGAGGTCAAGGGTATTTGCCATTCAAGTACTGTGGTGTAGCGGATCCTGGAAGGCCAGCAATAGGACATCATGAATGTCCTCCAAACTATCAGCCAGCGTATTAGTTCCATGAGACGATCTAGACCTGAATGTCCTTTATGAGACGATCTAGACCTGAATGTCCTCCATGAGACGATCTAGACCTGAATGTCCTCGCTGAGGTCCTACAGCTAGCGCAGGTCCTGTGCCAGTTTGTCCCACATGGCCTTCATCTCCCGCTCCGAGAGTTGCTCCCCCTGCGGGTAGGGGATGTAAGTGTTGCAGCGGAGGAAGGACATGAGCTCGCCCAGGTTCTTGGCCGCCATGTTCTCTTTGACCAGGAAAATCAGCACCGGACGTCCGTCGTGGACCGACTCCATGTTAGCCATCTGAAATAGAAAGGTCAAGGTCATACTACGGTCAACGCAACCGTCACGGTCAAGGCAATGCCGCCATATAAAGGCTTACTTCAATGTTTAAATGACAACAAGTAAAAGGATTCATTAATACTATTGACCTATCGTACTAAGGTCTAGAAAACTAAAACTTTTCCCGACCTGTTATCGACTAATGATGTGGGCTTGGTGGTTAAATTGTTAAAAGATCAAACAAAACACGCGGTTACACCTTTTTTTTTTACTTTTATTTCGCTTTCATTTATAATTTCAAAATTATACATTTTTAGTGAGAAATACACTGTTTATTGTGATTGCAATACTAATAAAAAACTGGGTTAGTACGCCTTAAACTAAGATAAAAGAATAAACCAATTTACACGTAATTAACACTTCTGTCTTTTTGAAGGAAAAAAAAAACCTTTAGTAAGTTTGACTATGTGACTACGCCGTCCCATTAACCTAGTGTCACACAAAAGTGAAACTTTGCACAAGTTTTAAGCATTACACTACTTTTCAAGTTTTGTGTTTTCATTTTACTGCAATACTTAGAAAATATTAAAGTTTATGTAAAACCGTCTACTTATTTTTTAGGTATATTTTCTTATATAAAAATACATAAAAAAGTTAAAAAATAAATATCAAAGTGAATATCGTAAATGCGATTTTGTTTTGAATATTGAGCGAACAAAGATACATAGTTTTAAAAAAATGTTTTCAATTTAAACATTTCATGGCTTTCGTGGCAGCTAGAGCTACAAAATGTGATTGTATACTGTCACAGACTGTATAATTAGATATGTTTATATTATTGTGTTTTACATGAAGTTGCATGAATGAAGAGTACCTGGCTAGCGGAAGGACTGTTTGAGCGATCGTCATGTGTTTTTCCATGTTTTTGGGTGAGATCGCTCATGTACGTAAGGGGAGAGAAAGTAGTGAATAAAAGGGAGAGCAAAAAGGTGAACGGGTGTTGTGTGCTAGAACTTGAACCTGAGGACTGTGGCTGTGAATGTAGGATGTTACTACGACACTTTGTTTCTTGACTGTGATTGTACTTATACCACTTGTGACCATGGATTTACTATGGATCTATTAATTCTCTGTACAAAGTGTAAATAAAGTTATTGTTTCACAACTACTGTTGCTCGTGTGAGTATATTGAAGAACCCACAATAACAACAAAGAATTCATGTTGTTACATATGGTGTCAGAAGTGGAGGCAATAAAGTGATGTTGCTACATTGTATTACTGTTACTTATGATGTCACAAGTGGTATAAGTACAATCACAGTCAAGAAACAAAGTGTCGTAGTAACATCCTACATTCACATGGCAAGGCTACAAAAAGAGGATGAAGTCACAAAAAAACTGATGAATAACATCAATAAACGACAAGGAAAGTACAGAGGCCACTGCTATGAAATAAAAAATGATATACTGGTTAGAATATTTCAGAATAACAGCATTAAAAGGACACAAATAGTCATTCCAGAGACACTGAAAGGTCTAGTCTTGGAGACAGCACATGATAGTCCTTTGGCTGGGCACATGGGAGTCAGGAAAACTATAAATAGAATCCTTGACAACTCGTTCTGGCCGGGAATCCATCAGGATGTGAAAAGATACATTGGTAAATGCAAGCAATGTATAACTAAAAATCATCTACACAGCAAACATATTGCTCCTATACAGCCAACTGATAAAATAGGAAGGGTGTTTGAGAAAGTGGCTATAGACATAGTAGGACCTCTACCAATTGCATCAAAAAAAGGTCACAGATTTATTCTAACTTTAATAGACATGGCGTCCAGATGGCCAGAAGCTATACCCCTAAGGGATATAAAATCCGAAACTATATGTTCTGCATTATTAGACATTTTTTCAAGATATGGTTTTCCTGAAACTCTGCTGTCAGACAACGGCAAACAATTTACCTCTAATGTGACTAATGCATTAACAAAGCTGCTGAAGATCACTCAGGTACACTCGACCATCTACAGACCGCAAGCAAACGGTATGTGTGAACGGTGGAATAAAACACTCAAGGTAATGCTAGCAAAAGCTACAGAAGATCATCCTAAGGAGTGGAATGAGTATATTCCGGCGATACTGTTCGCCTATAGAGGAACAGTGCATGACGCGACGGGGTACTCGCCATTTGAATTAATGTTTGGATCAAATCCAAGAGGGCCGCTTTCGTTGCTAAATGATAGATTACTTGGCACTCAAATCACTGAACAAGATGCTTTTGAGTTCATTACTGAAAAGAAAAGCAAAATGGTATATGGATTACAATCTGCTCAACAAAATGCGGAGGGAGAGGCAAGTAGACAGAGAAAATTGAAAAACAAAAATAGATACCTCAGGCAATTGAAGGAGACAGACAATGTCTATGTTTGGCTACCTACCTGGAAAGGGGTCAAATTATGGCAGGGACCATTTGTGATTAAAAAGAAAGTGAACGAAGTAGATTATGCTGTGGACATCAAAGGCACAATAAAGATAGTACATGTTGATCTACTGAGGAAATACGATAACATGCCTGAGCAGATAACTCAGGTGATGGAGGACATTAATACACATGACACTGACATAAATGAGGAAGTTGGTCGTGATGAAGAACTGCCAAAACGTCAAATAGAAGAACAATCTAGCGTAGTAATTATAGAGGAACAACCTACCTTAGCGAACATAATTCAAACAGAAGAAGAAATCCAGCAAATTACTCCGCTGAAGTACAGAAAAGAACTACAGCAGTTATTGAACGAATTCAAAGATGTCATTACTGAAGATACTGGCTACACAAGAACGATTACTCATGTCATAGAATTAAACAAGGATGCTAATTTAAAAAAGAAACAATATGCAGTACCTTATGCATACAGAGAAGCAGTGAAGAAAGAATTAAATCATTTGATCGAAACTAACAAAATACAACGCTCAAATTCATCTGTAGCTTCACCAATGGTGATAGTAAAAAAGAAGAATGGAAAAGTAAGAATTTGCTGTGACTATAGAGATTTGAATAAAATCACGAAAATAGACGCAGAACCACTGAGAGATACTAATGAACTATTGGAAGAGATAGGGAACTCAACAATTTTCACTCATCTGGACTTAAACCGAGGTTTTTGGCAAATAGGTATGGATGAGGAATCCAAACACTACACAGCGTTTACAACTGATGAAGGATTATTTGAGTGGAATGTTATGCCTTTTGGCCTAGTAAATTCAACAGCAACATTCTCCAGATTTATGAGAATAATGCTGGCAGATATAAAGAATGTAGTACATTTTGTTGATGACATATGTATTCATTCTAAGGATATCAAGACACATATGCAGTCAGTTAGAGAGGTACTAACAAAATTAAGGGAGCATGGCGCGACTATTGCACCTGAAAAGTTAAAATTTGCAAATGAAGAAATGGATTTTTTGGGATTCAAAGTAGGCAAAAATCAAATTAGACCTACTGACGGAAATAAAAATAAAATTCTCAACTTAGAAATACCTAAAACCAAGAAAGAAGTCAAAGGTGTATTGGGTCTATTTAATTTCTACAGCAAATTCATACCCAAGTACTCAGATATAACTCTACCTCTAAGACAGCTAATTACCAAGGACAGCAGTAGAACAATAAATTGGTCTAAAGAATGTCAGGATGCTTTACAGCTAATAAAGCAGTACTTTGAACATGAAGTAACGCTTACTGCCCCTAACTTTGAGAAGACACTAACACTGGTAACGGATGCTTCAAATTATGGATTGGGTGCATGTTTAATGCAAGAAGTGGACAAGGTACTACGGCCTATATTTTATCTGAGTATAAATACTGTTAACAAATAAATCTGTTACATTATCATTATCTCGCATAATAAAGAAAAACATTTTTCGTGTGGTGTCACCCCTTAGAGCTAGACAATGTGCCAGGCTTGTCTTAAATCAGACACAGATTTCAGTTGTTTTTAAATTAACGCCTAAATTAAATCCAACAGTTCATTTTATTTTTAAAAATATCGCATTTAGTTAAGAATAGATTGTTTTTTACTGGCAAAACCAAAACTAAACGTTATTTTTTGCTTATAAAGAAAAGGTTTTAATCGTTTAGTTCTAGATTAGAACTGGAATTACTGTTAGGATATTTTTTAAAAGCACTTGAAAGCACAATAATAATTCCACCTACCTGGACCTCGTATTTACACCAGTGACTCTTGCAGAAGTTCCCGGTCAGGATGACCAAGGTCCTACGGCACATGCTGACGGCGCTCACGATGTTGGAGGCGATAAAGTTTCCCGCCACAAAGTTGCGCCCGTGGATGTGAACTTTGACCCCTCTTTTGACTAGCTCTGTGGAAGTTATTTATCTTTGGAATTTCGCCATATTTTTGTGTGCGACATTTACTATAATTTTAAAATTTATTCATTCCCTAAAGTGTAACGAAATAGATAGTCATTATAGCCTGAATTAATTCATTATGTTTTCACATTTTATTAACTTTATAACTGATTTAAATCGTTCTTTTAAATAGACAAATTCTTTTTAACTTATTTTTTAAATTGACGAACGGATGGACGGGAGTGGTATGGTGTAGAGGTGGAGTGGTATGGTGTAGAGGTGGAGTGGTATGGGATGAGATGCTTTGGTGACCGTGGTGTTAGCTGTATATATATATATATATATATATATATATATATATATATATATATATATATATATATATATATATATATATATATAATAAATAAAGCTCAATTCTGTATGTAGAAATAAGTTTGTTTGTCGTTGACATACTTTGATGGATTTAAGTGTTAGACTATTATCCTGCTCATAGTCTAAATTTATGAGTTAAAAAATTATTATTTAAAGTGTTGGGAAATAATTTTCATTTTTCAAACTGATAGTAATAATTGTCGGCATGTTCATTGAACACAATTTTAAAAAAATAACAAAAATTCTAATTATGTCTGAAAATTATTTATATTTAGTCCTTTAGCACTTACTTCCCTTTGATAAATTAGGAAAACACAATTACTTCCCTTTATTAAACATTGCATTAGTGGAAAAGAATTTACTTTTTATTACTTTGTTTTGGTGTTGGGAAAAAAAATATTTACATAATTAGCGGGGATTGATCAGGTGCAAATGTTGTAGGTATTTTACGAATACGCTTGGAGTATTATAATTGTTCATTTGGTTTGGTTTGGCACCTACGTTCGTTTAAGTGAGTGCAAAAGACTATGAATAAGTTGGAATACTGTAGTCGATTATTAAGCTGAAACAGGCGATTCTGCCCCGGGCTAGACTGTGAGCACTTTGCGTTTATGTTCGCGTTAGTGTTTTCTTTGTGTTTAGGTTGGTTTTGCGTTAGTGGTTGCGTTTTGATTTGGTTCGTTTTTGTTCTTTCTTTTTTCGTTTTCGTTTGTGTTTTTTTCTTTGGGTTTGTGTTTGTATTTGTGTTTGTGGTTGGTTTTGCGTTTGGATTTGGTTTGTTTTCGTTTGCTTTTTTGTTTGTTTTTTCTTTGTGTTCGTATTGGTGTTTGTGGTTGTGGTTGGGTTTGTTGTAAGGTTTTTGTTTTCGTTTGCTTTTTTGTTTGTTTTTTCTTTGTGTTTGTATTGGTGTTTGTGATTGTGGTTGGGTTTGTTGTTAGGTTTTTGTTTTCGTTTGTATTTGTAATTGTGTTAGCGTTATGTTTGCGTTTTGTTGTTTAGGTTTTGGTTGGTTGTGGTTTGGGTGGGCAATGCCGGGTTTATGATGATTACTAAACACACAGGTAATAATCTTTAACAGAAAGGTTTTTCACAGAAGCCAGAGCAGGGCCTGGCCGGGACGGCTAGTGTTTATATATAAATCACCGAATCTGCAATAATATAGTTTTTTAAAAACAATTAGATGTGTAGGGTAAACTGTTAGTATTAGTATGAAATTATAAATCAGATACATTAAATATGACAATATGTGCAATTTTGTTTTGCGTTCACTTGGTGTGCAGTTCTTTTTTTTACGAGATTCTGTTCTATTTTAAAAAGTTTAAGTAATTAAAAATGGATTAAAAATCATGTCTATATCCCGAGTTGCCATCCCCTGTTGTTTTATATAAGAATATTTGAGAAAGTTTAGGGTAGATCATTCCAGGTTTTTTTTTTTTTTTTTTGTTAATCTTTTGGAATACTAAACAACTGATCCGGCCAGGTAATGCCCTGGCTAAATATAAATCATGTATAATGTGTAAAAATAATGCTAATTCAATATTAATGGAAGTATTGGGGACGTCTTTCAAGTAAGTAGATTTAAAATGTATTTTTACTGTAATATTCACCTTAACTCAAAGAGTAAGTCATTTAATTTCTTGATTATTAATTTTAAAGAAAAAAAATTGCGTGTATAAACTTCCAACATTTTTTTATGCTGACCAAATAAAAAGGAAACCATAAGTAACTAATGACCCAGCTCGACTTTTTTTTTTAAATCAAAGAACAACCAACACAAAGGTAATTGGGTTAAACCGAAATAGCCATAAAATTAGTAATCGGCAAATAGACAACCTTATTATCACGGAAACTTCAACACCCTAATATGTATATTACCAAAAGATACATTATCTTCTCCTTAAGACTTACCAGGCTCGACAACCTCAAGGACGAAAAGTTCATCCGGGTTGGCGTAGGAGATAAAAACGTCATAGTCAAATTTGTTGCCTTTTGTCTCGTGTCGTCTATGGAAGTTCAGCATCGCCGCGTGGTACAGGTACCGCAGGCTCCACCTGAAGCGGAAGATCATGAGACCGACGAGAGCAAACAGCACGAGCAGCGTGGCGGCAACAACAAACAGGAAGAGCTTCTCGTTGGATGCGCATTCTTTGTTCAGCAGCTCCACGGTTTTGTTGTAGCCGTTGGTCAAGCGTACGTACACGTCGTCGTGAGCACAGATATAACTCTTGAACGACTTAAATGCTGGAGACTTGACCATCCAGGTTAGGAATTTCAAGTTTTGACACGTGCAAAGAATAGGGCAGTTGTTAAGCTCCACCTCAACCGGTATCTGGTGGTCAATCAGCCAATCAATGCTTTCCATCACGTCATCAGGAAGTGACGAGATCGAATTGTGACTCAGATTTAACAGTCTCAAGTTTTTCATCCCACTGATATTTACATTAAATTCCGAAAGACGATTGTTTGACAGATCTAGAATAGTAAGATTGTTGAGACCGATAAATAAACCATAACTTAAATTTTGAATGTTGTTAATAGAAAGATCTAACTTTTTTAGATTTGTCAAATTAGCGAAAACAGGATCGTCAAGAGTGTTTAAAAAATCCCCAAGTAGGTTTGTGCCGAGGTTAAGATTCTCCAAACGCGGGAAATTGGAGAAAAACGTCCACTCCAGGGAACTAACATAGCTCGAATAGATACTGAGGGTGGTCAAATGATTGAAGCCGATGAACGGACCTTGCAGCTCAGGCAAAAAGTTTCTGTCCAACACAAGGTCTGTCAGGGAGTTGTTGCTGACTATCGTCAGCCGTGACAGACGGTACTGCAACTCAGCGTTAACCATTTCTATCCGGGACAGTTGTGGTGGGAGGTGGAATACTAGAGCGTTGTCATCTCCAACGCTTCTCCTCTTGAGGAGGGAATGAAAATGTTTGATGGATTCTTTATTGTAGGATGTTGGAATATCGTAGAGGTAGTCTTCGCCGTTGATCAGTAAAGTCTGAAGATTGGTCAGTTTTGGGAGAAATTCAAGGAAAACCCCGAACACGATTCGGTTTTTTCCGATGTCCAGAAGAGTTAAGTTTGGGGGGAGATGGTCGAACGTATCGTTGTCTATCTTCTCAATGCTGTTCCCCGCGACCTTGAGAGTGGTCAAAGACTTGGGGAGGTTGACCACGTGACTGGCATTGACTTGAGTTCCGGTGGAGTAGCGCCACTCGATGGTGCTAACGTCCAGCCACCACAGGTTCGTGTTGTTCCTCAGCCCGTGCATGATATGCTGCAGGTGTTTGATTCCAATGTCCTCGTTGTAGTGGATGTCCAACATCTCCAGGCTCACCAAAGGCGTAAAGGCATCCTTGTCAATGTGCCCCCCACGTAGGTGGCAGTTGCTGAGGTTGAGGACCTTGATGTGTCCCAGGTACTGAAATGTCGTGTTGCTTAAACAAATTATATTACAGTATCCATCCAGATAGCCAGTTACGGTAAAGTTGACCAGTGACGTCATCCTACTGAATCCCACTCCAAACGACGCATTCGTCAGCCCATCTATATAAAGCGCTTTCAAGTTTTTCAAGTCAGATAGCGCTAAATCTGGGTAACTAAAATTGTTCCCTCCTACCGCCGAGTTAAAGTTTTTATTCAACCTCAAGGCCGTGAGGGACACCAAAGGCTTGAAGACACCCACGGGAAACGTGTCAGGGGTCATCGCTAGGGAATTATCGTCCAGTCGGAGAAACGTCAAGTTTTCCAGACCCGAAAACGAGCTTTCATTCAGCTTTGAAATGTTGTTTGAATTCAAATGCAATATTCTAAGTCGTGAGTAATTTTTTAACGAATGAGGAGGTATTTCAGTTAAAGCGTTGTTGTACAGGTCAAGTTTTGTTATGTTAGGCGGTAGGTTTTGAGGGACGGATGTTAGTCGAAGGCCGCTGCAATCACAGCAATTTGTTTCGTTGTAGCACCTACATCCCGAATATATACAGTAGGTAGAATTCCTTCTGGGATTGCATGATTGTGTTTTTGACAACTCGAGAAGAGATTCTCTTTTGTTGCTGTTATTGAGGTCAGAGGTCACTTGGTTATTGACACCTAAGTCCATTGTTAGTTTGTGACTGGGTGAGGAATTACTTTTCTTTTTTGTCAGGACGGCGTCTTGTTTTATGACATCGTTAACCGATACATAGTTATTAGATGGGATTGCCATACGATGTACATTGTTTTTTTTTGTTTTGGTTGACTTCTCATTTAACCAGGAATCTTTAGAATCAGACTTTCCGTTAACAGTAACTGAAGACGTCATGTCCGGTGGACGTGAAGTGTATGCTCCCGCTTCATTGGTCAAAAAAACCAGGAGCAAACACGAGATAGTGAATTTTGTTATCATGACTGCGATTGGTCTAATAACTGGGAGCTAGAAGTTTTAGTGAAAACAATTGTATGGTTTTGTTTAAATTATGTGTAAAGTTATGGAGAGAGTGAGACAAATTTTAGACAGCACTTTAATTATTAGCTGATGTTAAAATAAGCGTCTGACATATATGGTCTTGTACAGAGTCAGTCTTTATTTACCTAGCTCAGACAAAGCGACATTTTATACTTAGGTCAGAAAGTAGCACACGTTTTAGGCATTCACGAAACACAATTCCGTTGCTGTTATTGTTGTTCAACCGTTGGTTTAAAAAATGATGCTCCATTGACTACATTTGCTTTCAAGTAATGAAATAACCTCCATCTTACGTTGATGTAAAACTACGTTGAAGTACGTGCTACCTAATCCAGTTCAGCATAAGTTTACAAGCCTAGGGAACCCGCACGCAGACCACACAAACAAAATTTTAAAAACTTTTGACATGGTACGCTCGTGTCTATTAGCCATACACGGATTTTCTTATATGAGAGCCTCGGGTATTTTTGTTTAAGAGCCAAGTTGAAGATAAGGAAATTCCTGGGGTTAAAGTATCGTCATTGAAATCTAGGATTTGGCTTGTTGCTAATCCGCAAGAACGACACACTTCCGCCTTGATAAAAATAAAGTTAAACCTTCTAGAACAGCGTCAGCTTATAGACTAGTGCATAGGGAGGGGTGTAATTCCATGCCCTTAACAATAAAATATGTTACTAACCTAGCAGATCCCCTACACACCTCACACCGTCAACCACACACAGATGCAATGTCACGCCAAGTACCTACAGATAAAGCCCATTATAAAACAATGATATGACGTTTCCAATAGGGCTAGTATGTATGTCAACATCTTCTCGTGTTTTTACTTGCCAGCTAGTATTTTCCAAACCAAATGTGAATATTTTTATTGAACGGCAAAAAAAGATTACTTCCGCTATTGTTAATTCAAGACAAATATATGCTATGTAAAATTGTAATTTTTTAAAGCGTACATTTGGTTAGTTTTTGTTCAAATGAGTAACTATTTGTCCTAAGCGAAGTTACGATAAACTTGGTCTACCGGTACTTAATTTGATTATATTATTAGTAAACATTTTTATAACTGTTGCATTTTGGGTACTCTTTTTTATTTAAAATATCGAAGCGAGGCTTCGTTGTTTCTTATTAACTGAATACATATTTATTATTTTCTACATATTCCTTTTATTATAATAATCTTTGATATAAATATGCCAGTGTGATATACTACACAGTGTAACAAAAAACATCCTCCCGCATTATAAAGGTGTGGTTTTTTTTTTAACTTACCCGAATAATGGTGTGATTCTTTTGCTCTGGCAGATGGTGTCTCCTAACTCTCATATTTTGGAGGATAGTGTGTCCAGTTTAACAAATTCTCATATTCTTACGATTTTGTCTTCAGATTTACATACTCACCGAAGTTAGTGTACAAGTTCTTGACCTTCAGCTTTGTCAAAATTTGTCATTTCTTCAAATACTGAGTTAGTTTGGAATTTAAGATTCAGATAAAGACCCGAATAGAGCTATGGTTTACATATCTGCAGGCCATATTTCAAAATAGAAGGGTCAAAATGTTATAAAAGAAAATTAGCAGAATAGGCCCCGTTGCAACTTTTCCTCAACGGGTGCAAACAACTAGTTATTAAGTAGTTTAAAAACCATTAAGGTTGATAAGTTAAACTATAATAGTGATGATGCGGGGAAATTATTTTTAATGTTATAGCTTACAATTCTAATATGTCTACCTCATGTGGCCGATCTAAGTAGCATGGGTTAAATAACACAGAAAGCCATTTTGTGAATCAATCTCCTCCCACAATACAAAAATAAAACATGTATCCATTGATATAACGAAAATTGATGTTGCAAACAAATGGGGTAGTGATAGCTCCAGGAACAAGTTACGATTACCTTTTTTTCCGATAAATCGTTCTTTTGTTTTTGTTTATGAAAAAGATTTGTAGAAAGCATACCGTTTGACTCTCACGGAAAAACTGCACGTTTAGAGAAAAGCATCAAAGAGTGGATCTTAGGAAGATGTGTACCGACTGATTCTAAATATATATTTAAAAAAATCATATCTCTCATTGATGGAAGATATATAGAAATGTTTTTAAGAAGCAATAAAACTAATGGGCTCTCGTTCTTTTTTAAATTAAAAAATAAAATGATTTATAACCAACAATAATAAAAATAATAATTTGCAACCAATAAGTAAGAAAAAAATACATATACAGTTACAGCATTTATTACAATATGTTTTCTTAAGGGGAAAAAGAATTTTCTATATTGAAAAATTCCTTTTCCTGATTAATACAAGACACCATGCCGTAATAAGAAATCACACAACGGTCAAGCGGCTGTCAAAAGGTTGTCAAAGCTTAGAAAAAAACTTTATTTTCCTTGACAACATCAATTTTGATTTTAACTCCAAACAGTTTAATTGTTTTTGTTATCACTGGTTTAATGGGTATCGCATGTGGTAAAACGATACACCTGATTAGTAATCCGATATTTTTTCTCTGAAGGACCCGTTTATACTGTTGATGAAGCAATATGCCCGAGGCTATAAATGATATCCAGTTACATTGTTGTGTGAACCTTGCAAGAATGGCTGTCGGCACACGAAAAAATTACAGCTAGAGGTCAAAGGTATTTGCCATTCAAGTACGGTGGTGTAACGGATCCTGGAAGGCCAGCAATAGGACATCATGAATGTCCTCCAAACTATGAGCCAGCGTATTAGCTCCATGAGACGATCTAGACCTGAATGTCCTCCATGAGACGATCTAGACCTGAATGTCCTCCATGAGACGATCTAGACCTGAATGCTCCAAACTATCAGCCAGCGTATCAGTTCCATGAGACAATATAGATATAAATGTCCTCGCTGAGGTCCGACAGCTAGCGTAGGTCCTGTGCCAGTTTGTCCCACATGGCCTTCATCTCCCGCTCCGAGAGTTGCTCCCCCTGCGGGTAGGGGACGTAAGTGTTGCAGCGGAGGAAGGACATGAGCTCACCCAGGTTCTTGGCCGCCATGTTCTCTTTGACCAGGAAAATCAGCACCGGACGTCCGTCGTGGACCGACTCCATGTTAGCCATCTGAAACAGAAAGGTCAAGGTCATACTACGGTCAAGGCAACCACCACGGTCAAGGCAATGCCGCTATATATAGGCTTACTTAAATGTTTAAATGATTACTAAAGGAAAATGATTCATTAATTCTACTGACCAATCGTACTAAGGTACAGATAACTAACCTTTTCGCGATCTGTTATCAACTAATGATGTGGGCTAGGTGGTTAAATTGTTACAAGATAAAACAAAACACGCGGTTAAACTTTTTTGTTAAACTTTTATTTCGCTTTCATGTATAATTTTAAAATTATCGGCCTACAAATTTTTTATTGAGAAATACACTGTTTATTAGGATTGCAATACTAATAAAAAACTGGGTTAGTACGCCTTAAACTAAGATAAAAGAATAAACCAATTTGCACTTTTATCTTTTTACTATGTGACCACGTCGTCCCATTCAGTAGCGTAGCCAGGATCGTCTCATGGGGGGGGGGGGGGGGGGGGGGTTCAAATTTTTACCCGGGGACGACCTTTCGATTTGCAACCCCCCTTCATATATATATATATATATATATATATATATATATATATATATATATATATATATATATATATATATATATATATATATATATACCGAGGGGTCTATGGGGGGGGGTATAATACGCCACTGGTCCCATTAACCTAGTGTCACACAAAAGTGAAACTTGGCATAAGTTTTAAGCATTACACTACTTTTCAAGTTTTGTGTTTTCATTTTACTGCAATACTTAGAAAATATTAAAGTTTATGTAAAACCGTCTACTTATTTTTTGTTGTTGTATATTTTCTTATTTAAAATTTCCTTTTAAAAGCTAGAAAATAAATGGCTAAGTGAATATCTTAACTGAGATTTTGTTTTGAATATTGAGCGAGCAAAGATAGAGAGTTTTGAAAATGTGTTCAATTTAAACATTTCATGGCTTTCGGGGCAGCTAGAGCTACAAAATGTGATTTTATACATTTTTTGGTTTAGAGTACAAATACTGTGAACAATTAAATCTGTTACATTATCATTAACTCGCATAATAAAGAAAAACATTTTTCATGTGGTGTCACCCCTTAGAGCTGAACAATGTGCCAGGCTTGTCTTGAATCTGATACGGATTTCAGTTGTTTTTTTTTAAACGCCTAAATTAAATCCAACAGTTCATTTTATTTTTAAAAATAACGCATTTTGTAAAGAATAGATTGTTTTTTACTGGCAAACAAAAACTAAACGTTATTATTTGCTTCTAAAGAAAAGGTTTTAATCGTTTAGTTCTCTATTAGAACTTTAATTACTGTTTAGATATTTTTAAAAGCACTTGCAAGCACAATAATAATTCCACCTACCTGGACCTCGTATTTACACCAGTGACCCTTGCAGAAGTTCCCGGTCAGGATGACCAAGGTCCTACGGCACATGCTGACGGCGCTCACGATGTTGGAGGCGATAAAGTTTCCCGCCACAAAGTTGCGCCCGTGGATGTGAACTTTGACCCCTCTTTTGACTAGCTCTGTGGAAGTTATTTATCTTTGGAATTTCGACATATTTTTGTGTGCGACATTTACTATAATTATACAATTTATTCATTCCCTAAAATGTAACGAAATAGATAGTCATTATAGCCTGAATTAATTCATTATGTTTTCACATTTTATTAACTTTATAACTGATTTAAATCGTTCTTTTAAATAGACAAATTCTTTTTAACTTATTTTTTAAATTGACGAACGGATGGACGGGAGTGGTATGGTGTAGAGGTGGAGTGGTATGGTGTAGAGGTGGAGTGGTATGGGATGAGATGCTTTGCTGACCGTGGTGTTAGCTGTATATATATATATATATATATATATATATATATATATATATATATATATATATATATATATATATATATATATATATATATGTAACGAGACTATTTGCCTGTAGTGCCAAATGTTAACGAGTTCTGCTCGACAACGCCAAATGTTACCGAGTCTAACCACTCATTCTACACAACATCGACCACAGTATAGATACTCGAAGATGCAGGTTCGCTATTGATCCTTTTATTACATGAATCAAAGAAATGCTTCACAATAATATAATGAATCAAAAGGAATGCTTCACAATAATAGTCTGAATCAACTGACCCCCAACAGTCCTCACTAGTCTTCACATAACTGAATGCACATGTCTATCGTCCTTCTTAACACAATACGGCTAACCCGTTCAATAACCAACTTGATACTGCCTCACTGACTGACTGATCGAGAGAGAGAGAGAGCGAGCTCAGCCGTCGCCTTCCTATATATCCCCTTCGTATTCGTAATCGTATTCGGTTCTATCATAATCGTAATCGTAATCGATTCTAATCGTTGCATCAGAATGTTAATTACGCCGCTTCTGTCGTACAGTCCGATTTAATAAGCCATCTGCATCCTGTCACATCAAAGTTGACAGACCGTATTGCGTTCTTATCGTATCGCTTCCCAAGATACTACGCCTTGGCTTTCTGATCGTTATCAGCCAACACCTGCGTTATTACATCAGTCGTGTCAAAGTTGACAGCGCTGTACTGCGTTCTTATTCTCTGGTAACTTCCCCTAGTTACATCCACCCCTGCCTTTTTTTGTGTGTTATCAACCACAAACAACGCTTGGCAGGTGCAGTCCTTCAAAGTCAATCGCACCACCGTAAAAAAAAATGTATTGTTCCACTCACTGTCAATGTCGTCACATTCGTATAAGATTGACAGTTATCCCTATTTCACATATCAAATGTGTCTACATCATCTTCCTCAGACACAAAACAGTTCTAGAATTCACATCCACCCTTTTTCGTTTGGTGCCTTCACCAGTTCACTTTTATGACTTTTTTGAACAGTCTGTTCTCATACCAGCGCGACCATGAAAGAATTGATGGTTGCTGACAAAAAATTTCGTATTCTTTCTGTTTCTCAAACTTCTCCGCGGACCACTTATCTGCTGTTCTACTGTGTCTCTGCTTCTGGGAGGACCGGGATCCTCCTTGTTGCCGGTATCCTCCCCTTGTGTATCGCTGTTGCGCTGTTGATGGTGACATGGTTCCGGGATGGGTATGTGAATTTCCGTTATAGTTTCCGGTTCCCTAATTGTCTTAGGTTTCCTTGTGTGTAACTGCTCTTCTTGACTATGACAATATTTCTTTAATTGAGCAATATTCGCCCACCGATCCGGTTTGGCGTGATCGATGGGTCTTATCTTAAAGGGGCCACCTGCTACTTTAGGCATCTCCACGACTTGCCATATCTCCTGTCCCCAGAGGTCGTGGATTTTGTTTCTGCCTAACGGGTGGCTACGCAGTAATACCCTGTCGTTCAGTTTGAGTGGCGGGTCCTTTGTCTGTACCGGCGGTTCCCTTCGCCGTGCTTCATGTTCTAGTCTTTCCTGTACTACCCTGTACATTTCTCTAATTCGTCTCATATGTTCATTCACATATTCCAGTGCAGTGTATGAGCCAGTCATACTCTCCTTTTTTCCTAGGAACAAGTCAAGAGGGAGTCGAGCCTCCCGTCCGAACAGCAACATGTGTGGCGAAAAGCCGGTTGTGGCATGGGGGGTGCAGTTGTATAGATATACCAACTCTGGGAGAAAATCAGGCCAACGTTTTTTCTGTTCAGGTTCTAGAGTACGCAGCAAATCATGCATGCTGCGGTTGAACCGCTCGCACTGTCCGTTTCCTTTCGGATTAAATGTGGTTGTTCTAGATTTGTTGATCCCGTAGTGGCTGCACAGTTGGTTAATTACTTCTGACTCAAAGGCCCTTCCTTGGTCAGAGTGTAATTGTCTTGGTATGCCATATTTGATGAACCAATGTTCTATTAGGACCTTTGCCACTGTTTTGGCAGTCTGATCTCGTGTGGGCACCGCCACAGTCCATTTGGTGAATACATCAGTCATTACCAACACATGTTCCGTCCCATCCGATGATTGCTCCAACGACGTAAAGTCCATAGCCACAATCTCTAGTGGTTTTGTCGCTAGTAGGTGTCCTGATGGCTGTCTCATTTTGACAACTGGCATTTTCGCATGCTGACACCTCACACAAGCCTCACAATGGCGTTTGACCTCCATCTCCATATTGGGCCAGTAACACCTCCGTCGTAATATTTTGTGCGTCCTGTCCTGACCCTGGTGTCCTGCCCTGTCATGTGCCAACCTTAGCACTTCTTCTCGTAACTGTCCAGGCACCACCACCTGGTGTATTGTCCCATCTATTTGGTCATGAATTCTCCGCATGAGAACACCATCCTTTATACTGAGACGGTCCCACTGACTCAGTATTTTCTTTGTTTCTCGACCAAATTGTTCTCTTTCCCTTCTTCCTGGGAATTTTTGTTCCTGGACGTGTTTCAACAGCGGCTGTAAGCCACTATCCGTTCTCTGGGCATCTCTTATCTCTTTGTGATTAAGGCAATTAAAATCACTAATGTCCATATGTCCGGGCTCCGTGGATATGTGCTCCACCCCGGTCTGCCCGTTTTGCATCACTTGCACCCCGTGAGGGATATCTGTTGACGCTCTGACCTCACATATTCCTGTCAGCGTTTCTTCCTCATCGCCCGGTCTCTCGTACGGATTCCTTGATAAAGCGTCCGCATTGCCATTGGACCGCCCCGGGCGATATTTTATCTCCAGGTCAAAGAGTGCCAATTCTGCTGCCCATCGCTGTTCGATGGATCCCAACTTTGCTGTCTTTAGGTGACTCAAGGGGTTATTGTCAGTGTATACCACACATTTAGCACCTAATAGATAGTCCCTGAATTTTTCAGTCACAGCCCATTTTAATGTCAAAAGTTCTAGTTTCATGGCGCTGTAATTTGTCATGTTCTTCTCTGATTCCTTCAGAGCTCGACTGGCATACGCAATAACCCTGAAACCTTGCTTTTGTTGTTGTGATAGCACAGCTCCCAGACCTTTAGAGCTGGCGTCAATTTCTAGCCGAAATGGTTTGTCAAAGTCCGCGTATCCTAATATCGGCGTCTCTGTCAAAGCCTTTTTCAAGAGCTTAAACGAGTTCAGGCATTCATCAGTCCATAATTCACCTATCAGTTGTGTTTTACCTTTCTTTTTCTCCTTACTGTGTTTCTTTGTCATTTTGTTTACCAAGTCATGCAACGGTGCGGCAATTTTTGCAAAACCAGGTACAAATTTTCTATAATAGGAAGCAAAGCCCAAGAATGATCTGACCTCTACTGTAGTTGTTGGCTGTTTCCATTCTTTAACAGCTGCAATTTTATCTGGGTCAGTGGCGATGCCATCCGACGAAATCACATAACCCAAAAAATGTACCGATTTCAGACCGAAGCCGCATTTGTCTGGGTTCAGCTTTACTCCTATCTCCCTAAGACGGAGAAACACTTGTTCTAATCTTTTTAGATGGTCCTCCCAAGTTTTTGAGTAAACCAGTATATCATCCAAGTACACCAACATTATTTGAAATAGAAAGTCACTCATAGCACTCTGCATTACTCGCTGGAATGTAGCAGGCGCATTAGTTAGACCAAACGGCATACGGGTCCACTCGTACAGTCCCAGTGGAGAAATAAATGCAGTCTTATGTTGATCGTTGGGGTGCATGGCCACTTGGTGGTAGCCGCTAGCCAAATCCAAGGTAGAAAAAAATCTTGCTCCCCCCAACGCATCAAGACATTCATCAATACGAGGCAAGGGGAATGCATCCCTTCTTGTGATATTGTTCAATTTCCGGTAATCACAACACAGTCTTATCTCCCCCGACTTCTTTTTTACCACTACTATCGGTGCCGCATACCGGCTAGTGCTGGTTGTAATAATTCCCTTTTTTAGTAGATCGTTCAGGTGTGCTTTCACCGCCGAGTAGTGACTTGGTGGTAATCTTCGATAAGGTTGCGCCACCGGCTTGTCTTGTAGTAAGGGTATCTGGTGTTTTATTACTTCCGTGTAACCCAAATCACCCTCGTACGAGGCAAATATATCCCTGTACTTATTCAGCAATTCATTTAGTTTTGGGTCCTCAGTTTCCGGGAATGTATATGATCGGCCATCCTCTTTCTTCACCTCGGCCGTCACATTGACCGACCTAATTGTTACTTCATTACTGCTGGTATTGCTCAGTTCGATGCACTGTGCCGACCTTAGTACCTCGACGTTCTGTGGTACTCCTACCAGAGTATTAGGCGGTATAAAAATTTCCTCATCCAAAACATTTGCCACTAATCCTTGAACTAGTCCCTTCTCCGCTGATGTGTATGTCCGCAGTAACACGACGCCTGCCCTCAGTGCGGCGCCACATGGTTCTATCATCACATCACCATTCACGCTTCTATCACCAATTTGTAATGTGATTGCCTTGACCGTGTTTGCCGGGACTGATATCCTTCCTCTGGTCTTGGCAAACCTGGCCAACTTGGATCCCCGACCTGGTGTGGTCGATCCGACAATATTTGTAAGAAATTCTGGCAACTGGCCAAGAATATTCATGCCCAACAGGCAAGGTATATTTGACACATTTGTCTCTAGGTTGTGTTTCGTAACGAACACCCCAACCTGCTTCAACCTATGTCCCGCCACCACGACATCCGCCAGAAAATAACCACAGTATGGAATGGTTAGTCCATTAGCTGCCGTCAGGCGCATGCATGTGTCAGACCTCAACCTATGGTCTTTTCCTTTCATCCATTTGGTGTAAAAATTTTCCGTAATTGTCGTCACCTGGGAGCCTGTATCCACAATTGCCTTCACCGCGATGTCCCCAATCGTAATCACCATTTCGGGACAGACTCCCATCATTTTGTTTCTTGGGCCATAACCTCGCCCCTCTGTAGCCTGGCCCTGCCTTATAGAGGACGACCGTTTCCCTGACAGTACCGTGCCATATGTCCGGGTTGTGAACAGGACAAGCAAATTGGTCGACCGTCAGCCGTCCACCGGAGCGATGGACCGGCGGGTCGCGGCCGTCCAACCTGTCTCTGTTTTGTCCCGTTCTTTTCCTGATTCTCAGCTGTTGACCTGCTTTCTAACCTCTCCAATCGTTGGTCAACCTTATCCAGGTGGGCCAACAGTTGAGCCATCATGGTTTCTACCGTGCCGGTCCCTGTGGGTGGGAATTGTTTCTGTTCCGGCACAGAGACTTTGTCCACCGAACAGTTCGATTGGTCCTCCTCCTCGGACCTGCGGATCGCTAAGTTCCTGACCTGAAGGAAGGTCAACTGCGGGTCTTTGTGGACCTCCTCTTTCAACTCTCTCCTTAAGATCGGGGTTGCTAGCCCCTCGATGAAATGGTCCCTCAGTAGGCGTACATCAATGTCAGGTGTTTTGCCCTTTACCGAATCAAAGGCCCTGTTCATTCGGTGTGAATACTCCATCACACTCTCCGCCATTCTCTGCTTTAAGCCTACGAACCCCGATAGCAGTTGCGATCCCGACCGTCTCTCCCCAAAGGTCTCCATAATTAGATCCAGCACCTTATCTGGATCTGATTGGATGGTTTTATCGTGGCATTTGACCTCTGCCCTAACCGTCTCTCCTATACTGCCCATCAGCAGTCTTAATCTTTCCTCTGGTGACATGTGTCTCGAGGCCCAGGCCGCTTTGACCTCTTCACTGAACCTGTTGGTTAAAGCTGGATCACCGTCCCCGTAAAATTTGTTAATGTGGGACTCTCTGGGCAGGACCACAATATGGGTCTGCTTCTCGTCCAGAGTAGACATTTTATTCCTTGAGTAAAAAAAAAAGAGTTCTTTCTTACCGTGTGTGTATGAAAAATTTTCCTCGTTCCTCAATTTTCACTGTTCCTGAATGTCCGAATTCACACACACACGAAACACAGTTATGAACAAGGTTGACTATGGGTGCCTCAAGCGGCAAGTCTTGTTGAATTCACCCTGCTCGCAGCGCCAAATGTAACGAGACTATTTGCCTGTAGTGCCAAATGTTAACGAGTTCTGCTCGACAACGCCAAATGTTACCGAGTCTAACCACTCATTCTACACAACATCGACCACAGTATAGATACTCGAAGATGCAGGTTCGCTATTGATCCTTTTATTACATGAATCAAAGAAATGCTTCACAATAATATAATGAATCAAAAGGAATGCTTCACAATAATAGTCTGAATCAACTGACCCCCAACAGTCCTCACTAGTCTTCACATAACTGAATGCACATGTCTATCGTCCTTCTTAACACAATACGGCTAACCCGTTCAATAACCAACTTGATACTGCCTCACTGACTGACTGATCGAGAGAGAGAGAGAGCGAGCTCAGCCGTCGCCTTCCTATATATCCCCTTCGTATTCGTAATCGTATTCGGTTCTATCATAATCGTAATCGTAATCGATTCTAATCGTTGCATCAGAATGTTAATTACGCCGCTTCTGTCGTACAGTCCGATTTAATAAGCCATCTGCATCCTGTCACATCAAAGTTGACAGACCGTATTGCGTTCTTATCGTATCGATTCCCAAGATACTACGCCTTGGCTTTCTGATCGTTATCAGCCAACACCTGCGTTATTACATCAGTCGTGTCAAAGTTGACAGCGCTGTACTGCGTTCTTATTCTCTGGTAACTTCCCCTAGTTACATATATATATATATATTTATATATATATATATATATATTTATATATAGCTCAATTCTGTATGTAAAAATAAGTTTGTTTGTCGTTGGCATACTTCGATGGATTTAAGTGTTAGACTATTATCGTGCTCATAGTCTAAATTTATGAGTTAAAAAATTACTATTTAAAGTGCTGGGAAATAATTTTCATTTTTCAAACTGATAGTAATAATTGTCGACATGTTCATTAAACATAATTTTTAAAAAATAACAAAAATTCTAATTATGTCTGAAAATTATTTATATTTAGTCCTTTAGCACTTACTTCCCTTTGATAAATTAGGAAAACACAATTACTTCCCTTTATAAAACATTGCATTAATGGAAAAGAATTTACTTTTTATTACTTTGTTTTGGTGTTGGGAAAAAAAATAATTACATAATTAGCGGGGATTGATCAAGTGCAAATGTTGTAGGTATTTTACGAATAAGCTTGGAGTATTATAATTGTTCATTTGGTTTGGTTTGGCACCTACGTTCGTTTAAGTGAGTGCAAAAGACTATGAATAAGTTGGAGTACTGTAGTCGATTATTAAGCTGAAACAGGCGATTCTGCCCCGGGCTAGACTGTGAGCACTTTGCGTTTATGTTCGCGTTAGTGTTTTCTTTGTGTTTAGGTTGGGTTTGCGTTAGTGGTTGCGTTTTGATTTGGTTCGTTTTTGTTCTTTCTTTTTTCGTTTTCGTTTGTGTTTTTTTCTTTGGGTTTGTGTTTGTATTTGTGTTTGTGGTTGGTTTTGCGTTTGGGTTTGGTTTGTTTTCGTTTGCTTTTTTGTTTGTGTTTTTTTCTTTGGGTTTGTGTTTGTGGTTGGTTTTGCGTTTGGATTTGGTTTGTTTTCGTTTGCTTTTTCGTTTTTTTTTCTTTGTGTTCGTATTGGTGTTTGTGGTTGTGGTTGGGTTTGTTGTTAGGTTTTTGTTTTCGTTTGCTTTTTTGTTTGTTTTTTCTTTGTGTTTGTATTGGTGTTTGTGATTGTGGTTGGGTTTGTTGTTAGGTTTTTGTTTTCGTTTGTATTTGTAATTGTGTTAGCGTTATGTTTGCGTTTTGTTGTTTTGGTTGGTTGTGGTTTGGGTGGGCAATGCCGGGTTTATGATGATTACTAAACACACAGGTAATGGTCTTTAACAGAAAGGTTTTTCACAGAAGCCAGAGCAGGGCCTGGCCGGGACGGCTAGTGTTTATATATAAATCACCGAATCTGCAATAATATAGTTTTTTAAAAACAATTAGATGTGTAGGGTAAAATGTTAGTATTAGTATGAACATATAAATCAGATACATTAAATATGACAATATGTGCAATTTTGTTTTGCGTTCACTTGGTGTGCAATTCTTTTTTTCTACGAGATTCTGTTCTATTTTAAAAAGTTTAAGTAATTAAAAATGGATTAAAAATCATGTCTATATCCCGAGTTGCCATCCCCTGTTGTTTTATATAAGAATATTTGAGAAAGTTTAGGGTAGATCGTTCCAGGTTTATTATTTTTTTTGTTTTGTTAATCTTTTGGAATACTAAACAACTGATCCGGCCAGGTAATGCCCTGGCTAAATATAAATCATGTATAATGTGTAAAAATAATGCTAATTCAATATTAATGGAAGTATTGAGGAAGTCTTTCAAGTAAGTAGATTTAAAAAGTATTTTTACTGTAATATTCACCTTAACTCAAAGAGTAAGTCATTTAATTTCTTGATTATTAATTTTAAAGAAAAAAAATTGCGTGTATAAACTTCCAACATTTTTTTATGCTGACCAAATAAAAAGGAAACCATAAGTAACTAATGACCCAGCTCGACTTTTTTTTTAAAACAAAGCACAATCAACACAAAGGTAATTGGGTTAAACCGAAATAGCCATAAAATTAGTAATCGGCAAATAGACAACCTTATTATCACGGAAACTTCAACACCCTAATATGTATATTACCAAAAGATACATTATCTTCTCCTAAAGACTTACCCGGCTCGACAACCTCTAGGACGAAAAGTTCATCCGGGTTGGCGTAGGAGATAAAAACGTCATAGTCAAATTGGTTGCCTTTTGTCTCGTGTCGTCTATGGAAGTTCAGCATCGCCGCGTGGTACAGGTACCGCAGGCTCCACCGGAAGCGGAAGATCATGAGACCGACGATAGCAAACAGCACGAGCAGCGTGGCGGCAACAACAAACAGGAAGAGCTTCTCGTTGGATGCGCATTCTTTGTTCAGCAGCTCCACGGTTTTGTTGTAGCCGTTGGTCAAGCGTACGTACACGTCGTCGTGAGCACAGATATAGTTCTTGAACGACTTAAATGCTGGAGACTTGACCATCCAGGTTAGGAATTTCAAGTTTTGACACGTGCAAAGAATAGGGCAGTTGTTCAGCTCCACCTCAACAGGTATCTGGTGGTCAATCAGCCAATCAATGCTTTCCATCACGTCATCAGGAAGTGACGAGATCGAATTGTGACTCAGATTTAACAGTCTCAAGTTTTTCATCCCACTGATTTTTACATTAAATTCCGAAAGACGATTGTTTGACAGATCTAGAATAGTAAGATTGTTGAGACCGATAAATAAACCATAACTTAAATTTTGAATGTTGTTAATAGAAAGATCTAACTTTTTCAGATTTGTCAAATTAGCGAAAACAGGATCGTCAAGAGTGTTTAAAAAATCCCCAAGTAGGTTTGTGCCGAGGTTAAGATTCTCCAAACGCGGGAAATTGGAGAAAAACGTCCACTCCAGGGAACTAACATAGCTCGAATAGATACTGAGGGTGGTCAAATGATTGAAGCCGATGAACGGACCTTGCAGCTCAGGCAAAAAGTTTCTGTCCAACACAAGGTCTGTCAGGGAGTTGTTGCTGTCTATCGTCAGCCGTGACAGACGGTACTGCAACTCAGCGTTAACCATTTCTATCCGGGACAGTTGTGGTGGGAGGTGGAATACTAGAGCGTTGTCATCCCCAACGCTTCTCCTCTTGCGGTGGGAATGAAAATGTTCGATGAATTCTTTCTTGTATGATGTGGGGATGTTGTAGAGGAAATCTTCACCGTTGATCAGTAAAGTCTGGAGTTTGGTCAGTTTTGGGAGAAATTCAAGGAAAACCCGAACACGATTCGGTTTTTTCCGATGTCCAGAAGAGTTAAGTTTGGGGGGAGATGGTCGAACGTGTCGTTGTCTATCTTCTCAATGCTGTTCCCCGCGACCTTGAGAGTGGTCAAGGACTTGGGGAGGTTGGTCACGTGACTGGCATTGACTTGAGTTCCGGTGGAGTAGCGCCACTCGATGGTGCTAACGTCCAGCCACCACAGGTTCGTGTTGTTCCTCAGCCCGTGCATGATATGCTGCAGGTGTTTGATTCCAATGTCCTCGTTGTAGTGGATGTCCAGCATCTCCAGGCTCACCAAAGGCGTGAAGGCATCCTTGTCAATGTGCTTTCCGTGTAGGTGGCAGTTGCTGAGGTTGAGGACCTTGATGTGTCCCAGGTACTGGAATGTCGTGTTGCTTAAACAAATTATATTACAGTATCCATCCAGATAGCCAGTTACGGTCAGGTTGACCAATGACGTCATCCTACTGAATCCCACTCCGAACGACGCATTCGTTAGCCCGTCCATATAAAGCGCCTTCAAGTTTTTCAAGTCAGATAGCGCTAAATCTGGGTAACTAAAATTGTTCCCTCCTACCGCCGAGTTAAAGTTTTTATTCAACCTCAAGGCCGTGAGGGACACCAAAGGCTTGAAGACACCCACGGGAAACGTGTCAGGGGTCATCGCTAGGGAATTATCGTCCAGTCGGAGAAACGTCAAGTTTTCCAGACCCGAAAACGAGCTTTCATTCAGCTTTGAAATGTTGTTTGAATTCAAATGCAATATTCTAAGTCGTGAGTACTTATTTAACGAATGCGGAGGTATTTCAGTTAAAGCGTTGTTGTACATGTCAAGTTTTGTTATGTTAGGCGGTAGGTTTTGAGGACGGATGTTAGTCGAAGGCCGCTGCAATCACAGCAATTTGTTTCGTTGTAGCACCTACATCCCGAATATATGCTGTAAGTTGAATTCCTTCTGGGATTGCATGATTGTGTTTTTGACAACTCGAGAAGAGATTCTCTTTTGTGCTGTTATTGAGGTCAGAGGTCACTTGGTTATTGACACCTAAGTCCATTGTTAGTTTGTTACTGGGTGAGGAATTACTTTCATTTTTGTCAGGACGGCGTCTTTTTTCTTAAATGATACAACGTTATTAAATGGGATTGCCATACGATGTACATTGTTATTTTTTGTATTGGTTGACTTGTCATTTAACCAGGAATTTTTAGAATCAGACTTTCCGTTAACAGTAACTGAAGACGTCATGTCCGGTGGACGTAAAGTGTATGCTCCCGCTTCATTGGTCAAAAAAAACCAAGAGCAAACACGAGATAGTGAATTTTGTTATCATGACTGTGATTGGTCTAATAACTGGGAGCTGGAAGTTTTAGTGAAAACAATTGTACGGTTTTGTTTAAATTATGTGTAAAATTATGGAGTGAGTGAGACAAATTTTAGACAGTACTATAATTATTAGCTGATGTTAGAATGAGCGTCTGACATATATGGTGTCGTACAGAGTCAGTCTTTATTTACCTAGCTCGGACAAAGCGACTTTTTATACTTAGGTCAGAAAGTAGCACACGTTTTAGGCATTCACGAAACACAATTCCTTTGCTGTTATTGTTGTTGAACCGTTGGTTGAAAAAATGATGCTCCATTGACTACATTTGCTTTCAAGTTATGAAATAACCTCCATCTTGCGTTGATGTAAAACTACGTTGAAGTAAGTGCTACCTAATCCAGTTCAGCATAAGTTTACAAGCCAAGGGAACCCGCACGCAGACCACACAAACAAAATTTTAAAAACTTCTGACATGGTATGCTCGTGTCTATTAGCCATACACGGATTTTCTTATATAAGAGCCTCGGTTTTTTTTTGTATAAGAGCCAAGTTGAAGATAAGGAAAGGCCTGGGGGTTAAAGTATCGTCATTGAAATCTATGATTTGGCTTGTTGCTAATCCGCAAGCACGACACACTTCCGCCTTCATAAAAATAATGTTAAACCTTCTAGAACAGAGACAGCTTATAGACTAGTACATAGGGAGGGGTGTAATTCCATGCCCTTAGCAATACAATATGTTACTAACTGTATACCTAGCAGATCCCCTACACACCCCACACCCTCAACCACACACAGAGGCAATGTCACGCCAATGACCTACCGATAAAGCCCACTATGAAACAATGATATGACGTTTCCAATAGGGCTAATATGTATGTCACCATCTTCTCGTGTTTGTACTTGCCAGCTAGTATTTTCCAAACCAAATGTGAATATTTTTATTGAACGGCAAAAAAAGATTACTCCGCTATTGTTAATTCAAGACAAATATATGCTATGTAAAATTGTAATTTTTTTTTTAAAGCGTACATTTAGTTATTTTTTGTTCAAATCAGTTGTTAGGACAAATCAATTTGTCCTAAGCGAAGTTACGATAAACTTGGTCTACCGGTATTTAATTTGATATATTATTAGTAAACATTTTTATAACTGTTGCATTTTGGGTACTCTTGTTTATTTAAAATATCGAAGCGAGGCTTCGTTGTTTCTTATTAACTGAATACATATTTATTATTTTCTACATGTTCCTTTTATTATAATAATCTTTGATATAAATATGTCAGTGTGATATACTACACAGTGTAACAAAAAGCATCCTCCCGCACTATAAAGGTGTGGGTTTTTTTTTAACTTACCTGAATAATGTGAGATTCTTTTGCTCTGGCAGATGGTGTCTCCTAACTCTCACATTTTTGAGGAAAGTGTCTCCAGTTTAACAAATTCTCATATTCTTACGAGTTTGTCTTCAGATTTACATACTCACCGAAGTTAGCGTACAAGTTCTTGACCTTCAGCTGTGTCAAAATTTGTCGTTTCTTCAAATACTGAGTTAGTTTGGAATTTAAGATTCAGATACAAACCCGAATAGAGCTATGGTTTACATATCTGCAGGCCATATTTCATAATAGAAGGGTCAAAATGTGATAAAAGAAATTAGCAGAATAGGCCCCGTTGCAACTTTTCCTCAACGGGTGCAAACAACTAGTTATTAAGTAGTTTTAAATACCATTACGGTTGATAAGTTAAACTATAATAGTGATGATGCGGGGAAATTATTTTTAATGTTATAGCTTACAATTCTAATATGTCTACCTCATGTGGCCGATCTAAGTAGCATGGGTTAAATAACACAGGAAGCCATTTTGTGAGTCATTTGTCAATCTCCTCCCACAATACAAAAATAAAACATGTATCCATTGATATAACGAAAATTGATGTTGCAAACAAATGGGGTAGTGATAGCTCCAGGAACAAGTTACGATTACCTTTTTTTCCGATAAATCGTTCTTTTGTTTTTGTTTATGAAAAAGATTTGTAGAAAGCATACCGTTTGACTCTCACGGAAAAACTGCACGTTTAGAGAAAAGCATCAAAGAGTGGATCTTAGGAAGATGTGTACCGACTGATTCTAAATATATATTTAAAAAATCATATCTCTCATTGATGGAAGATATATAGAAATGTTTTTAAGAAGCAATAAAACTTATGGGCTCTCGTTCTTTTTTAAATTAAAAAATAAAATGATTTATAACCAACAATAATAAAAATAATAATTTGCAACCAATTTGTAAGAAAAAAATACATATACAGTTACAGCATTTATTACAATATGTTTTCTTAAGGGAAAAAAGAATTTTCTATATTGAAAAATTCTTTTCCTGATTAATACAAGACACCATGCCGTAATAAGAAATCACACAACGGTCAAGAGGCTGTCAAAAGGTTGTCAAAGCTTAAAAAAAACCTTGTTTTCCTTTGTAACATCGATTTTGATTTAAACTCCAAACAGTTTAATTGTTTTTGTTATCACTGGTTTAATGGGCATCGTATGTGGTAAAACGATACGCCTGATTAGTAATCCAATATTTTTCTTTGAAGGACCCGTTTTATACGGTTGATGAAGCAATATGCCCGAGGCTATAAATGATATCCAGTTACATTGTTGTGTGAACCTTGCAAGGATGGCTGTCGGCACACGAAAATAATGACTGCTAGAGCTCAAGGGTATTTGCCATTCAAGTACTGTGGTGTAGAGGATCCTGGAAGGCCAGCAATAGGACATCATGAATGTCCTCCAAACTATGAGCCAGCGTATTAGCTCCATGAGACGATCTAGACCTAAATGTCCTCTATGAGACGATCTAGACCTGAATGTCCTTCAGCCAGCGTATTAGCTCCATGAGACGATCTAGACCTAAATGTCCTCAATGAGACGATCTAGACCTGAATGTCCTTCAGCCAGCGTATTAGCTCCATGAGACGATCTAGACCTAAATGTCCTCTATGAGACGATCTAGACCTGAATGTCCTTCAGCCAGCGTATTAGCTCCATGAGACGATCTAGACCTAAATGTTCTCCATGAGACGATCTAGACCTGAATGTCATCGCTGAGGTCCTACAGCTAGCGCAGGTCCTGCGCCAATTTGTCCCACATGGCCTTCATCTCCCGCTCCGAGAGTTGCTCCCCCTGTGGGTAGGGGACGTAAGTGTTGCAGCGGAGGAAGGACATGAGCTCGCCAGGTTCTTGGCCGCCATGTTCTCTTTGACCAGGAATATCAGCACCGGACGTCCGTCGTGGACCGACTCCATGTTAGCCATCTGAAATAGAAAGGTCAAGGTCATACTACGGTCTAGGCAACCACTACGGTCAAGGCAATGCCGCCATATATAGGCTTACTTAAATGTTTAAATGATTACTAAAGGAAAATGATTCATTAATTCTATTGACCAATCGTACTAAGGTACAGAAATTGAGCCTTTTCGCGATCTGTTATCAACTAATGATGTGGGCTAGGTGGTTAAATTGTTACTAGATAAAACAAAACACGCGGTTAAACTTTTTTGTTAAACTTTATTTCTTTTTCGTTTATAATTTTAAAATTATCGGCCTACACATTTTTTAGTGAAAAATACACTGTTTATTGTGATTGCAATACTAAAAAAACTGGGTTAGTACGCCTTAAACTAAGATAAAAGAATAAACCAATTTACACGTAGTTAACAATTCTATCTTTTTGAAGGAAAAAAAACAACTTCGTAAGTTTTACTACGCCGTCCCATTAACCTAGTGTAACACAAAAGTGAAACTTTGCACACGTTTTGAGCATTACACTACTTTTCAAGTTTTGTGTTTTCATTTTACTGCAATACTTAGAAAATATTAAAGTTTATGTAAAACCGTCTACTTATTTTTTGTTGTTGTATATTTTCTTATTTAAAAATACATTTAAAAAGTTAAAAAATAAACAGCAAAGTGAATATCTTAAATGAGATTTTGTTTTGAATATTGAGCGAGCAAAGATGGAGAGTTTTGAAAATGTGTTCAATTTAAACATTTCATGGCTTTCGGGCAGCTAGAACTACAAAATATGATTTTATACATTTTTTTGTTTA